GAGTCCTCCTTGGAAACGGACGAGTCCACTGAATGCATAGATTTGGGGTAGGGGGAAGAACTGTTCCATAGAATGGATGAGTCCATAGCCAATGTGGAGTGGAGAGAAATAGAAAACCACACAGGAAAAAGAGTCCACTGGGGATGGAATGGAATGTTCCCCACCCTTGTGTAGGCTGAGCCACTCAAGATGAGGGGAAGACAACTGTCCCACAGACAAGATGGCAAGGGTGGGGACCAGGGTGGGGACCAGAGTGGAGACTGCACGGAGGCAAGAGAGTTCATGGTGGGGCAGGGACGGGGCAGGGAGTGGTGCTGTATCCACATTCACTTCAGAAGTTGAAGATTCCAAAGAGGAGAATAAGTGGGGAGAGGGGAAACAAGGAAGAGGGCTTGACCCTGCTTCAGGGCCCATTAGGTTGGCAGGTGTGGGGAGGAAGATGGAGATAGATGGGAGGGGAGCTCAGAGTCGGGCCTCGCCCAACCCCCCAGGCTTCTTCAGATAGTCACCACCACCCCGGCCATCAGTGGAGATTTCCCGGAAAACGGTGAGCATGGAGTGCCGGACTCTGTCAGCCAGAGCTGGGACGTCATCCGGTGTCAGCCCTTCTGTGGGTACTGGGGGTAACACCCGCACCTGACATCGCCCTGGGGCAGGGGGAGCATCATCATGGCCTGTCCATCCAGGTCTATGCCCAGGTGAGGCCCACCTTCTGAGCAGTCCTGCTACTCTTCTCCTTAATCATTCAGTTCTCTTTGCACAGCCTTGGACAACCACCCCTCTGCTTGCCAGCTGCCACCTGTTCTCTGAGGCCCTCCTGTACAAAGCCTTCCCCCAACCCCAGTCCAGACACCTCCTAAGCACTCTTCCAGCCCCCACTGTCTGGGTTTATCATTTACTGCAAAGTGTTATTCATTACAGCTTTGCAAACACAGGCCTTATCTTTCCTGCTAGATAGCAAGCAACAGCCCCTCTTGGAGAGAACAAGTGTTACCCATCTAGCAGAGTATGGTGGGTACTTAATACTTATTGACCCCTTGATATGGGGTCAGACTAGATGACTTTGTGAACACCCCACAGCTCTGACACTGAGTGATCCCTCTGCCTCACAGTGACATCCTCCCAGACTCTCCTATGGCCTTTCTGGCCACACCCTACCCCAGACCTGCTCAGAGCCCTCACCCGAGGTGAAGCGGCGCTCCTTCTTGCAGTAGAAGTCTTGATAGGAGGACATGACTATGGGGACAATGGGAACCTGGGGAAGGGGTAAAATGGATCAGTCCACAGCTCCCTTCTGAGACCCCCCACAACAAGCCTCTGCCCATAGAGGAAGGAATGGTGGCAGGCAGGGACTGAGCAGCAGAAAGGAAGCAGTAATCACCTGGGCCTGCACTGCAAGATGGAAGGCTCCACGTTTGAAGGGCAGCATGGAGCCATTGTGGTTTCTTGTTCCTTC